TTCATATCAAATAGACCCTTAAAAACAATTTTTTGCGTAGTTTGTAGATGACATTATCATGTGAGGAGGGATTTGAATGATTTGGTGATCTAAATAACTACATGAAAGTAGAAATGAGTTAGGATATCAAATTAAAATTTCACTAATCAGTTTCATCGTACCAGAAAGCTTTTTTTAAGGATATTCAACAGAAAAGAGTACCACTTGTATTTCATTCTTTATGTTGTTTTGAGGTTGATAAGGATCAAAGTTAAGTATAATATCCACTTATGATAATACTTATTGATTGTTTTGATGATCATTGTTTCAAAATCGAAGACTTCTCATAAAGTTACAAATTAGAAATTTCAGGTTCTGTGAAAATTTTGATTTTTGTTAAGGGATGTGACACGTGAAGATGATTATTTTACGATAAATTTCTAAAAGTAGGGCCCACTTTTGTAGAGAACGCATGCATAAAAACGTGACTCATCACTTTATTTTTATCTTGGTACAGCTTTATTTCCTTATTAATAATGCGACAAATTTATCCAGCTTACCAATGACATGACTCCAAAAAAAAAATATTGAGTAAAACTAAAGCTAAGATATTAATTTTAAATCTTTTGTTTATTTATATAGAGATGGAGATTAGCATAAAGAGATATGATAACCTGGGGAATGGCGGAAGTGTGATGTATGAGGAAACGGTCATTAAAACTAAGGGTGCTCACGAGACGGGACGAGACTGGGATAGGCCCGTCCCGGTGAACAGGGATGGGATAGGGATTTTGTCCTGTGTCCCGTCCTGCTTCCTTTTTTTTTTTAAAAAAAAGATACCATAATTTTTTATATGACTTTTTTTATGTTATAATACTTATTTTTATTGGGCTTTTAAAGATAAAAACATTATAAAAATATTATATAGAAAAATTAATTATATAACATAAAAAAGGTGTAAAAATAATATTGCAAAAAAAAAATACCGTAAAAAAAAAACACTATATAATGACTTTATGAATTATTTTATTAAGGAAGGAGATTTTGTTGAGATAATACTACAACTTAAGAGCTACAAATCACCATAAAAATAAGAGTTATTATTAATAAGTAAATTGAATAATCTAATAATAATTATTAATAAATAATTTTTTTAAAAAAATCCCGGGACAGGACGCGCCCGGAATTTTTTTTGTCTCGTCCGAACACACCGGGACCGGGACGAGACAAATTGAACACCCCTAATTAAAACGACTACGAAAGACTAATACCCCATCAAGTCTTTCATGTAGCATATATCAATTAATATTTTATAAAAAGATTAATATAAACTTTGGTTCTTCAAGTTTATTATCATTTTGATTTTGGTTTCTTAAATTTCAAATTATAAATTTTGGTCTATTAAGTTTTTTTTATTTAAAATATTAGTCTTTATAATCTAATAAAAATTTAGATTATTTTGTCTTTTGTGAGATCAGAGCTTAAGGCTTAAAACTTGTAAGGCTAAAATCAAAATAAGAACAAATTTAATGAATTAAAAATTATATTAAGCCTTTATGAAATGACATATTTAATGAAGAAATTAATTGCATTAATTCACTCTAATATTATAGTAGCAAAGTTTGTTCAAAATTTCCCCTTCTTTTATTAAGCTGGGATTCGGTCGGATCCAAAATGTGTAATGTAAAGAAGTTATACGTAACTTTCATTGGCACTCGATTCTTAACATATGACCTAATTGTTGAGTTGGTTTTGATCCTAAATATAAGACTCATTTTTTATATTTATCAGTTTTCTCTAAATTATACCTCTATAGATACTCTCTCAACCATAATCAAATAGAAGAAGGAGAGGGGTATTAGGAAAGATGATTATGGTGTTTTAGGAAAAGCATGTCACATTTCTTATAATTAACTAACTTACTTAACTTCCTTAATCTAATCAAATTAGTTAAATGGGTCTTATATTATGGATCGGAGGAGTATAATACTACTCCTCCGGTCTTTAATATAGGACTCAATTCTTAAGTTGGTTTTGGTCCTAAATATAAGACCCATTTCTTATATTTATCAATTTTTTCTAAATTACCCCTATAGATACTCCCTCAACCATAATCAAATAGAAGAGGAAAAGGGGTATTAAAAAAATATGATTATGGTGTTTTAGGAAAAATGTGTCACTTTTCTTATAATTAACTAACTTACCTAACTTCCTTAATCTAATCAAATTAGTTAAATGGGTCTTATATTAAGGACCGGAGGAGTACATTATATCCTAATTATAGGATATTATTTATAGACACAAATGATATCTTATAATTAAAATTGGAAGCAGTATAACAAAACTAAATAGAAAGACAGAAGTGAGAAAAAATTAAAAAGAGTGATTCTTTGTGAGAAACAACAATTTAATTAAGAAGTTTCAAAATAGAGGGATTTGGAGGGAAAAAGTAATATTTTGTTATGTTGTGACCATTATGCCCATATTTATTTTTAATATCCTCATACTATCTTAAATTCTTTTCTTCTTGTCTTCAGATGCTGCTCTCTCATTTGCATGACCAAATATTTCATTCAAAGATAGGATACAATACAAATTGTGACTGAATATTACTTCAACCTTCTTTTCAATAATACTTCACCCCCTAAAACATATTATAATTTTGGTATAAGTATTACTCAATATATTAAATGTTATTTACAATTCTATTTTATTAAACATTCTATAAAATTTCAAAAAATAATTTTAAATAAAATAAGGGTAAAATTGTTCATGTTAAAATATTTTTTCCTCTCATCTCTTCATGAACCAAATAAGATAATATTAAAACTCCTCTCCTCTCTTCTTTTTTATAAATCTAAATAAAGTAATATTAAAATCTTTCTATTCCCTTCTCCTTCTTTTCTCTCTATTAAAATCTCTCCCATCCTTTTCTTTTCAATTGAGCCAATCAGACCCTACGTGATTCGAAATAATCACGTAGGATCGCATGAAAGATAATGTTTATCCCGGGCACGCAAAGAACGTCGAGGTAGGGTCCACCTCCAATTCCAGTGAACTTCCTCTCCCATCTCCGTCCCATGTCGGCAAGTCCCCCCTCTCTATCGTTATTAGTGCACTGCTCTCCATAATATCATATTCATCGTCAATCAATCAGCATAATCTAAGAACTGTTAAACTCAACTTTTTTGACCAGAATGTTAAACTTAACTTAAATTAAATCAATTCTAAATAATTTAATAAAGTTTACATAATTATTGTTTTTTTTGGCCAAAAGTTTACATAATATTGGGTTATTACAATTTTTATCTTTTAAATTTGTTTTTATTTTGGTTTTGGTTTTTTAAAATTGAAATCTTTGGATACGGTGATATGGTCCATCAAGTTTTGTTTCATTTAAATATTAGTTCTCATAATTAAATAAATATTTGGATCATTTTATCTCCTGAAAGATTAAAGCCTATAATTTAAAATTTGATAAACTAAAATTAAAATTCGTGCAAATTTGAGAGACCAAACATAATATTAATCCCTATTATATTGATACATTTATTTTAATTAAATGGACTCTAAGTATATGCACAATATATAAAGAAATAGTTAACGTGGCTTTTTTTTATAAATTTTTAAAATGTAACTTTAACATTTTTTTATAATTTAGATTTAAAAAATTTATCTGGAATTAATTATAGATTTTCAACGCTGAACTTAATTTTTCTATTTTTGCTTAGAAGTATCTGGGTGAAAACAAAACCATGATTCTGAAAGTGATTTTACCATATATGAAGTAAGCATGTGAAAAGAATTTTATCTCGACTTCGTAAAAACACTTTTAAAATTAAAATTAAGACTTCATATGTAGGTTATCCATAATAAAAGCGGCTTGGGAGAGCTAAAGCTTGGTTTTAAAGGAAAAAAATCAAATACCCACAACTCTTAACTATAGGTAAATGTAGAAGCTTGACATACAAACAGGATTAGATAAATAGTTAAACATTTTTTTAATAATAATTTTCCAAAGAAAAAAACTTCAGAAAAGTTTCTTCTGCGATTCAACGGATAATTGCCACGTTTAATCATTTGATGGGGACAGGCAAGCGAAATCCAATTTTGGGTGAACTGGTTTTACGGAATTACACCAACCATGGAACAAAATCCCACTGCATTGTCGGGGAAAAGTAAGGACTAATTCGTCATTACATACGCTCACAGAATAGAAGCACCATCATCGGAAAATTTTACTGCAACTGGATAAATGTCGCTTTCCTTATTTTTGTCATAATGGTTTCTCTCTGATTAAAAACAAAAACAATTTTTATATTTTATGAATTTAACTTAGATTTTCATTAACTTTATAATTATAACTCAAAGCCTCAGAATTACTAATAATTAAATTCGAAATTTATGGGTAAATTCCATGCTTTGTAGTTGTGAACTTGTGATGCGATATGTTTTTTTAATAGCCTCGGATATAATTATGGTTGGCCAAAGTTTCCTGCGCTGCTTCATCATCATGCCCGCAGGCCTCCTACCTAAGCCTAGACGTTTCACCAGTTTTAAATCGCTGAACACAGTGCTAAAGTCTCATCTGATCTTAAATATAGGACTAGGATATAATAATTAATTTTTAAAAAAATATCGTCACTTTTTAATTGCATCAAGCTATTTTTCCTGTGTATTTATTTAGTAACTTAATATTTAATCATTATTAATGATAAATTCTTAATAATCTTCTCCATGCTTTTGGGTGATTTTTAATCTTCTTTTTGTTTTCATTGTCACGCTTCTTTAATGAAAATCTCGGGTGTTTCTCTGTGCTCTCGCACTGCACGTTTCTGTTCTTGTTTGCAGTGTCACTGTCCATTTCTTCAAACCAGAGCATGAGTCTCTGTCTCGTGGACCATTCTTTGCCTCCTTAGACTCTAACCCCTCCTCCTCCTCCTCCTCCTCCTCCTCCTCTGCATTCTTGAGCCTGGAGCCTTAGAAAGTGTGGAACTTTCCTCCACCCGTTTTATAGCTAAGTAGTTTTTAAAATGAATCAGTGATGGAGACGAAGAATCACCTAATCCATTTTTTTAATTCCTTAACTCCTGCAAGTTTTTGTTTTTATGTACATCCTTTTCTTCTTGCATAAAAGGGAGTCTAGAGCTACATCTACAAACCCCAAAGCTCCGAACTTTGAAGCATTTCATGTTTCGTCTCAAGCTCTGAGAAATAAAAGACCCCTTGTAAGTATTTGAAAATGTCATCAATTATACAGATTTCCGTTGTAGATTTGGAGCAGAGAAGCCATCGCAGTGACATGAGTGCCGAGGCTAGCATTTGCTTCTCTGATGCTGAAGAGGGTTCTTGCTATTCCCACTTCTATTCAACAAATGGTGGCTCATACGATGACTATAGCTTTGCTTGTGTTTCTGATCCTGAGGTTATTGAGGGTGTTCCTGAGTCAGGAAGAGCTTCTTCTGTCACTGAATGTTCAGTGGAGGTGGAAATTGAAAGTGGGGTTCCTGAAGTTAAGTTGCATTTGGATATAGTGGAGAGAGAGTGTAGGATTTGTCACATGGGTTTGGAAAGTGATAGCCATGAATCTGGGGTTCCAATTGAATTGGGTTGCTCCTGCAAGGATGATCTTGCTGCTGCTCATAAACTCTGTGCTGAAACTTGGTTCAAGATTAAAGGGAACAGGTATGTGAAACCACATCTCTGCTTTCTTTCAATTCTAATTTTTTGATTCATGAGTTTTATGTTAAATACCAGTGCTTCTCTATGCTTAACTGGAAATACACAAACGTGGGTTAGATTGTTTAGTCTGGATGGTTTTGGAATTTTTAGTTCGTGGATGACTTAATTGAGTGGGAAATTGAAGATGACTAAAATAAGAAAGTACTTGGTTGCATATTTTAGTAGTTTAAAGAACAAAGTGGTGAGGACGTAGGATCGGTTAAAATTCTTGAACGAAAGGTACATTGGCTAACGTTAATACCAAGAAGTGCTCAAAAGCATGAATCAGTCCTGCTGAGTCAGCGGCATGTCTCGGTACATTGAGCTTCCCTTTTGCTATGTCTTCTTTTTTCAATTTAGGGAATCTTCATTTTGCTTCTTTATAGTTCTCTCTTTATCTAAATATCAAGTGGAGACTTGACCACTTCAACCTTTTGTGCTCCTTCTTTAAGATTTAAGAATCTCTATCTTGCTTTTTTAGTTCTCTTTAAATCTCCATCAAAGTGGAGATTTGACCCTTTCAACCTTTAATATATTTTCCAAATATCGTGGTGGATGCTTGTTGCTTTCATTTGTGCTGCCTAGAACTATTTATTGTTTACTCCATTAATTGTTCAACCCCATCTTTCCTGTTCATACAAAACTTATGGATGACATCGACCACAGCTACTTTCAGTATGCGTGATTGTTTTTTGGTACCATAAAGTCCTGCATGTAAGTGCAAGTGTCCACATTCTGGAAGCAGTCCTTAAGGTACAATATATCCATACTCTATGATCATTTGTGTCCTCATGTGTTCCACAGTTTTGTCACAATCACAAATGACTGGGGGAGGGCTATTCAAATTACACATTGGCACATCAAATTCTGTCATGCACAGTGTTCACGTTTGCCTACATACGTGTTATATCCTGTGGATCTTAATGTTACTCTCCATCTCATTGCCTCTCAAAGTTCATCAGAGTTGCTTGCTGATGTTGGACTGGTTGAAAGTTGAAGCCTTTATTTATTGAATACCATTAAGCAATTTCCTGACCTAAGTTGTCTACTTTGAATAGCGGATTAAAGTAATCCCACAATAATCTTCCTTCTTAATTGGCACCTAGTATGGATAAGATACTCGTCTAATTCACAAGCTCACTGTTGATGCTCGGCTTTAAGTAGAAAGCAATTTGTTGGGGCCATTGATGATGAAGGTTGGATCTATTAAATATCTTAATTCAGATGTTAATTCACCCAGGTGCATGATTTCACCTCTAAATTAAAATTAAAAATAAGGAGTAATGGAACAGAATTTGCATCTGCTTTGATTGGCAATGTTCTCTCATTTATGAATTGCTGCCTTGATTAGTGACAAATAATTGATGGTATCTTTTTCTTCCTTTTAGAGATTCCATAACCTTTTGAGACATCATTTTATCATTTGTTGAGGACAATACTGCATTTTTGTTTTTGAAGGCAGGGAATACTGAGGGGGATATTCTATCTAGGCTAACTTAAGGTAGAAAACCATAATGCTTCAATTTGATTAATTGTTCTGATTTGGTAGGACGGTCTGCTATGACAGCCTAGTATATCAATCATGTCGATAGATTATTTATCTTAGCAAAACTTTAAAGCAAGTTCATTTATTCATGTTTGAATCAAGATATGTAAGAATGAGATAATTATCCTTCTCTATGCTGTGTACCTGAGCAGAAAGCTCTTAGGGCTCTGTTGTATGTTTTTTTTTCTTTGGCCAAAAACTGTTGTATAATACTTTGAGTTCTCACATTGACAAGGCTGTGATATTTCATACACGTACGCCAAGCTAATGTGAGAATTGAGATGGATATTTAGTGGGACCTATCGCTAACATGTTTATATGTCCATTTGTCACTACCTTATTGGCTTAAGTCTACCTTTGAAGTCCCTACTTCATTGGAAAAATCCTTAAGGTAGACTTAGTCTACTAAATATAGGTAAACTACACCAACTACGAAAGAGACATATAAGCATCTCTTTGCTAAGATTCAGTGAAAAGTTTGTTTGACATGCAGGTGTTTCTTTATGATTGTTTTGATTTTCAGATCTTTTATATTTACATAGGAATTTCTTCTTTTCCTTGTTTGGCATTCTGTAGGCTGGTAGCTAATAGGATTGCTCCCACTCTATCTTCCTGCTGCTATATAATATCATAAGTGCGGCTATTTTAATTCCTTCATTGTTTTGGATGTGGTTTGAAGGCTAGTTACAGTCACGCATAAAGCACATTCCCCCTAAACTGTGAAACACCGAAGATAGCAATTTTTCAGACCTTGTTTCTCTGTAATTCCTTACCTTGCATGATTTTAATTATTTTTGTATGGCTATATTCTTGTAGGACCTGTGAAATCTGTCATTCTGTGGCACGGAATGTTTTTACAGCAAATGAGGAGACAGCTGAGAATTTAAGTGACAGCAACAATGCTATCACATTATCCTCACTTCCAATGCCGGCTTCCCCAGAAACTCGAAGATTTTGGCAGGGCCGGCGCTTCCTGAATTTTATGCTTATTTGTATGGTTATCGCATTTGTCATATCATGGGCTTTTCACTTCCATTTTCATTCACCTTAGTGTAGTTCTTTTAAGATCACAGGGAAATAAAAGCTTGTTAGAGTGGGGAAATTTGGGGAAAACAAGGTGAAATGAAAGAAGAAAAGAAGAAATCCTGCCCAGCGACTCACAGAAGCCTTCCTTTTGAGAATGAGTGTTTTTTAGTTTTCACAACCTGAGGCCTCATAAAAATCAGCTGTTCATTTTGCATTTCTTCATTATCTACTGGGCCCTTAGCCTTAATTGGCTTTTTGAGTCTACCATCCAAAATTAATGTGGTTCATAGACAAGTACTGGAATGCTGTGTTGAAATGTATATCATAGTATTACTATTGCTGCTTCAATGCTTTTTCGTGCACCATGAATTTCCTTCTGTTATTTTTTCCCCCTTGGCTTGCTAAAGGCTGCTATATGATTAAGGCAAATTTGTGGGCTGGTTGGTTGGCAGATTGATCTTTTATGGCCATACAAAGTACTTTTTTTTTTTTTTTGTGAAGAAAGAATTCGTTACTAAAAAGTAATTCCGACAAGACAGCCGTTGGTTTACAATAGAGAGATACCAATTGGTTTATATATTACTTTGGGTTCTAAATACTATTTCCAGTCCTAATTATAAGAGTTAGTTGACTAATTTGAAGAAATTAAGAAAAGAAGTTAAGTTAGTTATTTGTAACAAATATGTGTTATTTTTTTTAAAATATGCTTACTAATTAAGTATGTTGGTTAAAATTATAATTATTAGAAAGATTATTTTGAAAAAAATTGAGTAAATATGAGAGACAAAATGGATTGGGGTCTTATATTTAGAACCAATATAAAAGTCAAACGAGATCTTATATTAAGGATTGGAGGTATTAAGGATTGGAGGTAGTATGGTATCTAATTTATAGTTCAAAAATAAGCAGGAAGTTAAGTCTGTTTCTTTGTATCTGTTGCTTGTTTCCTAGTTATCATTAAAAAAAAAAAAAAAGCAGGAAATGTTATTTTTAAGGGAAAAAATTGCACATAGCCCCTGCTGGTAGGGGTGGAAATAGACCAGGCGACCTGTCAGGAGCCTGTGGCCTGGCCTGTAAATGGCCTGGTCTGGCCTGGCCTATTTAGATATTAGACCAGGCTCAGGCCTGTAAAAAGGCCTATTTACTTTATCAGGCCAGGCTCAGGCCTGATAGTAAGCCTGTTAGGCCTGTCAGGCGGCCTGGGCCTGTTATCTTTTTTTTTTAAGGTTAAAATTGTAAATTAATAGGAGGGAATCTGCTATTTTGATTGGTTAATTGAGAAAACTCCATCCATATAAACGTGTTATCTAGAGCCTATTACATGCTTCATTTTATTTCTATTCTCTATAATAAAAATAATTGATGTATGTATAATGATACATATTTAAATAGAGAAAGAAAACATAAGTGCATTAAAAAAAAGCATCATTCATTTATTTGATCCATGCTTTTCATATTAATCTTATATAGAATATATATATATATATATATATATATATATATAGAATTGACCTATTATATTTTAGACCGTATATATGTGTGCTCAATCTAATTCTTATTATAATAGTTACTTAATTAATTTAAATAAATAAATAAATTAGAATAATTGTAATATTTTTTTAATACAACCATGTGTAACAAAAGGATCAAATATTTTTTTGTTAGTAAATTAGTTTGAATAAATGATAAATTTAAAATATAAAAAGGATTAAGGATGTTTCATATTTTAAACTAGATCTAGTCATCAACTAATTTTTATACTAGAGATGGGATGAAGTGATATTTTTATATCATAGTGAAATTATGTTTTCTAATAATTTTTCATATTAGATTTTTTTTGGGCATAAGGGGACATGTTTTACAAATTGTATTAATTTGATAATTTCATATTTTTTTGTTTGTATTTTAGATTAATTAGGTTGAATTATTGTAATTTTGAATTGATTTATGTGTGTTTAAAATTTATTAAAAAAAACAGGCCTCTTAACAGGCCACAGGCCAGGCCAGGCTCAGGTCGATTAAAAGGCCTTTCACAGGCTGCAGGCCAGGCTCAGGCCAACAGGCCTCACCATAGGTCAGGCCTGTTAAGGGTGAGGTCTGACCTGGCTTGGCCTGTTTCCACCCCTACCTGCTGGGGCCCGGGCCTAAAAGCAAGTTACGCTTCCTGTCCCTAAAATATTTTACCTTGACCCATTCAAAACTATATGTTTGCCACTTTGCCTCCATTTTTTTTTATAAAAAGTCTCAAACATATATATATATATCTATATATTTCCATTTTCTGTTAAATAGATTATAAAAATAAATTTAAAACTGTAACTTCCATAAAATATCGGTATTTATATTAATTTAATACATAATTTACCATTACATTTTTTATGAAATATTAACATTTACATTCAGCACGTATCGCCCAGCCAATTAATATTTTCTAGATCCATCACTTAGCAGCTAGTCTTATTCATCAAACTTCATACAATTTTGGGAAAATGTGCACAATATATATAATAAAATTTATAAAAATCGTATTATGTATATGTCATGACTAGTGCGACGAGAAAAAGTGACAAATTTTTTTTAATTTATCCATCAGATTTTTTTATGATGCACAAAAAATTGTTTATTTTTTAATTTGACGAGAAAAAGTGACAAATTTCTTTCGTAAAAACTTAAAAACCAAGGAGTGGATAAGATAACGAGAGGAAATAAACGTCAAAGCGTATGGAACTTGCTCATTTATCTAAGGCTGTAGGATTAATGCGGGTGGGCCAAGATGGTTCGGCTTGTATATTAGAATATTTTGTCCTGCTCCTTTCTGGAGGTTGGCCAAAAATCTAAATAATAAGCCATAATTTGTTAATTTCTGTTCCAATTTATTTTTAATTATTTAATTTAATGTTTTTTTAAACTGGATGAATTATTGTTTTAATATTAATATCAAATCCTGATCTCTTCTTGATATATATATACGGAGATTATGATAATTAATTATGAATGATTAGTAAGTATTTATAAATTTTAAATATTGAATTGTTGGTTTCATCTAGAAGATGTTTAAAGTGTAATTTTTAATTATAACAAAACTTACCTATCAAGAAAAATATTGAACATTTAGAATTCTCAAATCATATTAATTATGTTCGTGGCTTTTGCCTTGTGTGTTTATTATATAATATTTACCTCTATGCTTAGCTTTTCATTAAAAAGAAAATACAAGTATTTAGAAATAATGAAAAGACAACCCAAATGCAAGATGAATGAGTAATTTTGGTTAAACAAATTTGAGATGAGATGAAAGGTAATGAAGATAAGCACAATAAATGGCCAAGCATATCTTTCTGTTTCTCTTATATGTATCTTTTCTTCTAATTTTTCAGTGTTTTAATCCATTTTTTGTTGTCTTTGACAGTTTGACTTTCCAATGTTTCAAGTTTACTGTATGCTTAATAAATTTATGATTACAGTTTGATTCATTTTGTGCTCATCATGAAAAGTTAAAACCTGTGGTCGTTGGATCAAAGCTGTGGACTCCGTCATGGTAAGAGACTGAAGCGTGCAATTCGTAGTTCAAATAGACTGAAGATTATCTTTTGATCTCCCGTCACTTCAATAGGATAGGTTTTCTGAAGAGCTAGCTCACTCTGCATTGCAGCTTTACGTGAAAAGCAATTTCCTATGCAATATCTTCTTCACACAGCAAATATTTCTTCGTCATTTCTTAATTCTTCTAGCTTGAAATTTCAAGTACCTGGGTTCTGTATTCATTAGGAATCTGCAGAAAGAAAGGAGACTGTGGGCATATAAAAAAATTCTAAACCAGCCATTACTTTTCATAACAGAGGAAAATGGATAAAGCCTGATAGAACTATCCCAAAGAAACATCAAATCATGCTAAAGATAACAGAAGGTAAAATCCATACAGTTTCCAAATTTTTGTTCTTTTTGGCTTCGATGTTGGTCCCATTCTGAGAAATTGTTGTGCATCATTCTCCATTCCAAGGGTGAAGAAGACAAGCTGCTTATAGATGCAAAGAAGTAGGCCAATCAGGTGATACCACACTTGGCCTTGCATTGCATTCCCAAGATCTTATTGTGCCATATCATTCATCAAATAAGATAAAAAGCGTCTTGCACGCATATTAGGTGAGACCATGGTCCCTCCATCTATGAACAGAAAGAGTCACTCAAGTGAATCCTAGCGAAAAATGTGTCTAAACATGCATGGTTCTTCATGATTTGGTTTTAGTTAATCTGCCCTTCTTGTCTGATATGCTCGACATCGTATCAATACACTCAGCTTGTGATGTCGCACGCTTAAGAATAATTTGGGTTCCGACTCTGAAATTTTGGAAATATAGTCTCTACCCCTTTCTTCTTCTTCTTCTCCGCATTCTTGAGCCTGGAGCCTTACAAAGAATAGAAATTTCCTCAACCTGTTTTACAGCTTAATAGTCCTTGGGAAAAGAAGTAATGGGGAAGAACCAGCTAATCCGTTTTTCTGAAGTCCTTGACCCCCGCAGTTTTTTTCTTTTTTGTATACCCTTTCTTTTTTCTTGCGCAAAGGGGGTCTAGAGCTAAATCGAGAAACCCCAAAGTTCCAAATTTTGAGATAGCTCATGCCAAGTCTGTAACTCTCAAGCTCTGAGAAAGAAAAACGTTTTTCTTTCTTCTTTCCCTTCTAAGTCTTTGATTTTGAAGATGCCATCAACTATTCGGATATCCCATGCAGATTTGGAGCAGGGAAGCCACGGCAGCGACATGAGCGCTGAGGCTAGCATTGATCTCTCTGATTCTAGAGATAGAGAGTGTAGGATTTGTCACTTGGGTTTGGAGAGTGACAGCCATGTATACGGGGTTCCAATTGAATTGGGTTGTTCTTGCAAGGATGATCTTGCTGTGGCTCACAAACTCTGTGCTGAAAACTGGTTCAGGAGTAGAGGAAAGAGGTACATGAAACCGTCTCTTCACTTTCTTTCAATTGTAAGTTTTTATGTTTGACTTTCATGTTAGATACCAGTGCTTCATTATGCTTAACTTTTAAAAACACAAAAGTTTATTATTAGATTATTCAGTTGGGATGGCCTTGGAGTTTTTAGTTTGTGCGTGACTTATTGAGTGGTGTACGTAGGGAATGTTGAAGATGATTGAAAACTTGGTCACATACACTGAAAGGTAAGGACAAAAGATCAATTAAATTCACGAATGAAAGGCAAAATTAAATGCTTGATTTCTTCTCATGATTTTTTGTTTGGAGTATTCTATTCTGTACGCTTGTAGCATAGAGGATCGTTCCCTCTCTATCTTCCTCGTGCAAGATACTCCTCCGGCCCTTA